AATTGCAAAAATTTTCCGGGTGGAAAATTATACCAATCAAACACACTTAAAAAACGATTCCCTGCAAAATAATTTCTAGACAATTACTTTCCCTGAAATTCATTTTCTTTCCACACTCATTTTCCACTATTGCAATCAAACGGACCCTAATTAGAAGTGATACATCGAATTTGACCTTCAATATACTTCGAAATAGCAACGTAAAGGAGGAAAAAAAAAACTCAATCGACTCTTTGCAATCTATACAAAATTTTCCCTCTGATGTTCTCCTCTTTTCTAATATATATAATAAATATAGAATCAACGGACAATTTTCTTCGTATATAATAAAACATACGGCAAATATAAATATACCACTAAATCTATTAGAATAGAAGAGATTCTTGTACAAGTAAAAAAACAACAAAATTAAATTCTTTTAATAAATTTAGGAGTCGTCTTCATGATTCATTTTAGCCACCTCAATTAAGTTGATTACTATAAGTAAAGACAAGCATACAAACAACTAAGAAGAATAGGGTATGGCTAATGGCTTTCAAAAGAAAAGCCAGGGAAAGAGCCAAAAGGTGGCTGCCATTGAATAAATAAATGATACAAAGACATGATTGGTCAACAAGACTAACAAACAAATGCATTACCTTTTTCCTAATTTATTTACGCTAAAAGTGTATCATTTAAATATTATCTTCGACGCAATTCTTTATGTATGAGTATCTGCAAATTTTACCTGCTTTAATACTACGTTAAATCACTTAATCTAAAAAATTAAACAGTTAGATAAAATCACTTGTATATCATTTAGGCATTAATTTCAACAAATGCAACACCACTTTTTTCTCTATAAAATTTGAAATCGACTAAACGCCACTCCCTTCAATTCACAATTAATACATGGAGAGGAGGCACGATAAAACAAAAAATATTGCAACAATTTATTCTTCATAAATTTGAAACCAACTATACGAATAAATTTTTAATACTTTATTCAATTCACCGTCAGCGAATAAAGAAGACATACAATAGAAGCTAAAATTTGAAATTAGCTATACGAATCCTTTTCGTTGCTCCATTCGATTCACCAATGGAACAAAGGAAGCCTATTATTCAAATAGATCTTGCATTCAAATGGGATGTAGGCATCAACCAACTTTTTTTTTTTTCCTCATTTTTATAATTATAACCACTGACCAAAAAGAGTAAAGGATAGGATTAAACTATTTAAAAATATTGAATAAAATGGTCCCGTGCAATTTCTAATCATGTCTTTGTCTAATTTAATTTCAAATATGTCATAATGTACTGTGTCTCTTTATGTTAGGAGACTTTTGCAAAGCCAAACAAAAGTGAGAAAATTGTAGACAAAATAAGTCATCTACTCCTTTTTGTCTAATAAATTAATTCTCATTTTATCTCTTTTGCAGTCAAAGAACCTTTTTTTGTTTATTTTGTGTAAAAAGAATCTTTATGGGTTGTTCATACGAGTGAACTCTAAGGTACTAGACAATACCATGAAAAAAAAATTAAAAAAAATACAATCTTATGTCTTGATTTGTCTAGTCTTGTTTGGTACCTAGCATGAGGAGTTAATGTTGATTTTTCTAATTGATATACGTTTACTACATGGAACTAGATACAAATGAGTTAAGGAGGAGAAACATGCATCAAGATTTGCCAATCATCCTTTACTAAAAATAGAAAACATACCGGAAGTGACGATTCAGTTTAATAAATGTGCATGTTTGTCACACAGTATTGGATGATATTGCATGGTACAATAGTCAAGTTTTTAGCCTTTTTTTTTCTTTCTTTCTTGATCCTATCGGTAAGGTCCAATCCCGCATGCCTAAAGGTAAAAGAGAATATCAAGGTTACACCTAAGGGAATTGAAGAATCCAGTAACGCGTGTGGGGTTTGGAAAGCTGCAGTGCGTGTGGGGTTTGGACTGAATCCAGCTTTCCCCCATTTCAAAAATTATTGGTACTCCTTGGGGTCCAAACACAATTCTTAATCTTACACTATATAAACCAGCCCAAAGTTTCCTAACTTTCCTATGTGGAATAAGTGTATGGGAATATTCAATAAATCAAATTCTTCACTAGTTTATAGTTCTAAGTGAGTTACTTTGATATTAAATATTTCATTCAATTCTAAATGATTTTCAATAAATAAATATATCACGTTGATCACCTCGCGGAGTAGAACGTGAATATGCTTGGTCCCGTTATAATTGATGTACGGGTCCCACTCAAAATGATACTTAAAATTAACCCATTTCACTAAACCATTTCCAACAAGTATGACATTCTTTTGATGCAATTTACCCAGCTATTCAATTTTTTTTCAAGCGTCAACAGAAAAGCCATTGCTTACCTGTTGGAGGAAAGTCGATCCACTCAAGCTGTTACACTGACGTTCAACTAATTGAATTTGTTGGAAATGGCAGAGTAACCGGCACCATTGAGGGATACAACAGTGAAAAAATGCGTAAGAACTTCTCGTCATTCAAATCACAAGCAGTTAAAAAAAGCAAAGACAGATTCATACTTGTAGCAATTCAGTAACTCATGTATAAAGCTTAAGGAAGAAAAACAAGCTAAAATTTTGTCCATATTACTATCTAGTATTGTGTACAAAACATGCTCCTATGGTGTACAAAACCGTTCTTGATGATAAATTATTACAAAGCTGACTACATTGGTAATAAAAAATTTCCTCCTCTACTCATTTGTATAGACTATGAGAAAGAATTGATTCTAATACTTGGAAGTATCTTCTCTGCTACTCCCCCATTTTTTATATATGACAGCAGATTACAAATGCAAAAATTAAAACTCAGAATACAATCGAACTAAATGCAGGGAATCAAACGGCGTGTTTATTCGCCACTCTCGCTGCTTTTTGCTAAGTGGCCTTCCCTTCCCGGCCTTTTCTCTATTTACCCTTACATCTGCTAATCCCCACGTGCAACTATTAGCCTCCGAATCAAACGATATGAGCCTGAAGACTCCGTCATGCTCAGATGATAAACCAGTCTCCACTACTTCAGTGACATATTTCACATACATGTTACGATCCCTAAAACGTTCTAGATCTTGGGGAATCCGAACAATTCTTTCAACGCCAGGAGAAGACACCTGAAATCAAGGCGTCACAGACATTTAGAATAAGAACAGTACGGAAAAAAATAAATAAGCACTCAAATGAAGAACATATTCTAGCACCATTAACCAACTCATTATCAATTCAATTCATCTTGATTATAACAAGTACCAGATAAATTGGTAATAGATCGACCTAATGTTCTATGTTAGCGTTAGAAGGGAATTCAAATTAGAGAACTATAAGACTATGAATTCATTTCCGTCATTTTTATCTGAATGAAACTCCTAAATTTAAAGATGTATTATTGACGAGCTATAGCAATGCACCTATTGAAGCAAAACTAAAATAATTACTGAAATGAGTTCAAATGGTAAAATATAATATAGAGAGCATCTTTTATGTTTGTGCTGCATTTCAAAAGACATTTAAAGGAAACTAACAGTCAAAAATGTTCGCACAAGCAGTCTCGCCACTTTATGCCAAATAGTGAATTCAATACGTTGTAAAGCTGTTTCTTTAGGTAATAATTGGTAGATCAGAGGATAAGAAACAAAACAAGATCAATGGAGGAAGAGGGATAAAATACATAACCTCAAGAGATATGTTCTCGGGAATAGATCCAGCAGCCTCAGCTTCATCAAGCCGTGCTCTATATGTTGCGGAGAAAGCTTCAATATCCGTCATACTGGGAGAACCAGACCTGTGAAATATTACAAAGGCCTCCACATTTCAAACCCAAAGAGAAAGGGCTTAAAGCATATTTTTATCAGAGTTAAGAATATTGTTAGGGAACCAACTTATAATGTTGTTCCATTTTGGACATTGAATCGTCTTAATTGGCTGTATATAGATCTTAATTGGTGATGATCAAGCCCGCTAGATAATTTGATCAAACTTCCACTTTCCACTCCTTGAAGAATTTGAATGCAAATGGTAGCGTGCATCAATCATAATTAATCAGATACAGAAAAGTAGCTTACTTATTTGTAAGTCTTTCAATACGAACTTGAATAGTGGCATTTAGCAGCGTCTTGAAGGCATATATACTTAGTTCTCCATCGAAAGATAGAGCAACTTCTTCAGCAATTTCATAAGCTTTTCTATCCCATGCTGTACCAGCGAGAGATAGTCCACCTCCTCCAGCTCCATCCCCAACCTTCAAGCAAAATAATTAAAAAGATCAACCTCCGTGCAAATGTTTTAACGGTTAAACTCCACTAACATGAAGGTTCACGTAAAAATTCAAATTGAAATCATTTATAACACAGAACTCACAAAAGATTCGGCCTCTTCTGCAAAATACTCATCCTCAAAATAACCATCATCATCTACAAGCTCCTCTGCGCAAAGTATAAATTCATGTTAAGATTTCTCTATTTAGTCAACATATAAACTATGTGAGATTTCATTCACTATCATAGGACACTACTCAACAAGAGCATAAACATCTAAGTAGAATCAGGTCCGAAATGTGCTACTATACACGAGTTATTCACCTGACAATTCACTCGTGCAAATGCTGTATTCTCTTATTATCCAAACAAATGACTAATTTGAGTTCCCAATGACCGTTGTTACACAGCTCTTAAATGTCCTTTACACAACCTCTCTTTCTTATGCAAAGTTTAAAAAGTTCACTTATAAGATAATAAGAAACTAAAGCACCATTCATTTGTCTCAATTGAAATCTCCATAAATGTCATTTCCCATAGTTGTGGTTTATAATTAACTTTTTTTTTACTTAAAAGTGAGACATCCAAACATCTTCGGAAAGAAAATATAAAATATTGTTCTTTGTTTATAATTCAAACTCAGGCCTATAAATACTTCTTATGAGATACAATGCAAATGGCCGAACAATCAATGTAAACAAAATCATACGAAATTAAACTAGCCAAATAAACATAAAAAACATTCACATATAAACTCTCTCATGAAAAAATTTACCATCCTCAAGAAAAGGATCATCTTCCATATCTTCATCCTCATTCATGGAGACGTCTTCGATAATGGAAGGTTCGAGAATCGGCTCGGACTTTGGCTGAGAATTTCTCTTCTTGGCGAAGGCAATGGAAGGCTTTTTGGGAATATCAAGAAATGTACAGGGGTAAAGTGGGATGGAATGCCTGAAATTGTTCATGGCGATTTGCTGTGTTATTGGAATTACAGTACAGTAACGGCCCAAGCGTGTACTCGGAAGGCAAGTTGACGCAATTAAGTTCATTTGCAGGGGTAATTTGGGGATGTGGTTATTCGGTTGCAGAAAGAAGAGATAGAGCAAATAAGAAATGAATGAATTTTGGAGAAGACACTGGAAAATGGAATTAAATTGGTTTTTATTTTTTATTTTTTTCTTAATTAATTTTCTAAGGTTCAATATTCAAGAAAAAAGGGTCATTTTGGTTCTCGATTCTGGGTAAATGTGACAAATAGGTCGAGCCATTCCTCTACATTTCTTCATCTCGTTTCAATATGACTGAACTGGGTTCATTATCATCACTAATTGCGAATACTAGAATCGAAAAGTAAATCAAAATTTGTCATTTATGTACTCTAATACCTAAAATCGCTTAAAACTCGAGCAAATTTTGAAATGAATTGTTCAATTCGTTTCAATTGATTTCGATACTTTGCCCTGACCCCTAACTCGGGCTCTACACATTCTTCGTAGAAAGATAAGTTGATCGGTGTAAGGCTTGATCAAACCATTTACGGGTTAGATTACCTTGAACTTGAAAGGATCAATTTATTTGCACGTCTCTTCCAATTGAGATGAAATACAGTCCATAATCATTTATTTTTCTCTGAAAATGAACTTCCTCAATTCAACAATCTCTATGGTAAAGTTTTCGAGTAAAAATATATGTTAAATTGCTTGCTTTAATTTAGTTTTAACCTATACATGTGCTTCTATGCAAAACCTTTCAACCTTTTGGTTTGTAAAGTTACCTTTATCCCCTTTGGTGGCCTTTAATTTACTTTAATGTATTTCTCATACTCATTTTCAGTCACATGTTCACACGATAAAATATTCTACGCATAAATTCAAATTTTTATACTTTTTAACCATACAATCTTTAAAAAATTCTATTCAAAACAGAATAGTTTACAGTTAAAGGCCACCAAGCAGGAGCTTAACTTACCTTTAACAGTCCTTTTAACTCATCTTTCATGGAAATATCATATGTAAAGATATTTTTGGTTTATTCTTATGGCTTACATAAAAGTTTTAAAGTGTATAATGGTTTTACTAGGAATGGCAGAAAAGTTCGTCGACTTGGACGACTCAAGCTCGGCTTACACCAAAGTCAAGGCTTGGCTCGAGCCCTAGCCGACCCGTGGCCTGAGCGAGTCTGCACATTAAAAAAAATTTAAAATTAATTTTTTTTTTTAAAGGAGCTACCTTTGACGGCAACAGGCTGCCTGTTGCAGCCTTCAATAAATATAAAAAAAAAATTCAAAAAACCTGAGCCGGCTCAGCTCGACCCGCTAAGGCTCGGGCCGAAAGCTCTTTTTTTTTTTTGCCAGACTTTGCTCGGCTCAACTCGGACCTTTTCCGGCTCGGTTCGGCTTGTTGACATACCTAGGTTTCACCATTGATAGTGCAAATTTTAAAAACTACGTTGAAATAACAGACAAATAATTTACATGGCCAAACTCAATTAATTTGAGTAAAACGATAATTACAAATCCATCTTTTGTCTAAATTGAACCCAACTCTAACACGAAAATAACAGCAGTCTAGACGTTGAAATTCTTGGCTTGTGGGAAGAAATCCTGCTATAGCATCCAAGAAATTCAAACAGCACATAACTTGAAACTTAACGATGTTATGTCAAATTTTACGTTAATTTTTTATAACCGAAGAGTAATGAAAAAACATTTTCAACTTTAACGGCTAAACGAGTAAACTTAAAATTTTGCGAAGACTTCAGCGATATAATTCAACTCGAACTAATAAAGTGAATCCTTTTTGTCAAATTATGATTTTAATTTTAATTAATTATTCATCCATCTACCTTTGATAACAAAACATCCTTTGCTAACATAAACATAATCACTTTCTGTCATTTCGACCCATATGGCAAAAATTTAGAAAAGTCAAAAGTTGCTTTTGAGAATAAAAAGATACTTTTCAGTATGAATAATTTTTTGAGAGTGCTTTATCTGACTTATAAAAATTTTAAGGATCCATTTGATTGCAAAGGTGGAAAGAAAATAAATTTTAGGGAATTGAAAATTATCTAGAAATTGTTTTACTGAAAATTGTAATTAATTGTATTTGATTGATATAATTTTCCACCTGAAAAATGTTAAAAGTTTGATGTCCGTTTGATTTTGTTTTTCATGAAAATTGTTTATTAAAATGATAATTTTTTTTACCATTGGATCTAGAATTTATTTTAACTTGCCAAAAAAAAAATTATCATACCAAATATCATTCATTTGCCTTTGTTTTACATGAAAATTACTTTTTTTTACCATTTAGTCTAGAATTTTTCCTATTACCTAAAAAAAAGCTGAAAAATGAAATCCACCTAAAAGGTGGGAAAACAATTTCAACAAAAAAGTGAAAAATGTGCACGTGTGAGAGAGCGTCTTATCAAACACTGCAAAAGTTGGAAAATGAAAAAAAAAATTTCCATGAAAAATGTTACCCATCAAACATGGCCTAAGAGAAATCTATGATAGCTTATTCAAGATGCACTTTTACTAGAAACAAAAGTAAAAGCAAATGCAGTAGCAGAAGTTTTACCGAACGGACCCTATAATCCATGAGTACGCCAGGTTCAATTGCACTTGCACTTTGGACACTATCTTTGCAAAAGCAGTTTTAAGAGTGAATCGTACTTGAACAGATTTCATAACACAAGCTTTCTATCTAACAATGAAAACATTTTTAAAATAAAATGAAGTACATAATTTAGCAGAATTCTCTGGTGATCCAAGACTGTCTTCTCTGCTTCCAAATCCACAAAACAAAAAAGGAACAAAATGAAAGATACCAGCAAGTAAGAATTCCAAAAAGTATTTTGCCCTAATTCAAGAATGCATGTAAAATCCAGTAGTTTATGCAGAAATGAAGAACAAAATGCTGGATGATATTCTAATAAACACTCGATTGTATAATATTACATAATGAAAGGAGGAACAAGCCATACTTTTCAGTTCAAGACTCTGTCTTACGAATTCGCTCCAGGTATGCCTGCAGGAGAGAGCAAAAGTAAGGTCTTAGCATCACAAATTATCAGACACGGATAAAAAGACAAATAACCACTATATTCACGGGAAAATGAGATGTATATCACATTATGCACATATGTGAGTATCAAACATATATAAAAATGAAAATATGTAAATTCGCAAAGAGGACAGCGATTTTCCTTTATTGAGATCAAGCCAGTGAGAAGAAAGGTAGAGTCTTAGCATTGAGAACTATCGGACACAATCAAAAATACTGACTATCAGTATATTCGTGGCAGAAAGAGACGTGTATCATATTACAGTGAACTATGGAATATCTAAGTGTATGTTAGCGATGAAAATATGTACTCTCAAATAAGACAATTTTCTTTTATTGAAACCAATGCACAGTAAAAACAAAAGTAGGATCTTAGCATTGAAATCTATCAGAGACAAACAAAAAGATGGAAAATCAGTATATTTTTAGAAAAACAAGACGGGTGTTGCATTATGGGGTGAATGTGCATAAGCACCCTTCCCCATCTTCCCACAATCAAGCTGGCATGTGTGCATTGGTAGGCAACAGAAATATAAGGATATTTTTTTTATTTTTCTTGTCTTTATTTCTCTTATTTTGAGTGAGATTCTGAGAAGCAGAAAGAAGCAATCAATATGCTCAAGCACAATCTCCAAAAGGTCAGCCATCAAAAAGTTCAGGACTCAATAATGAACCTCAACAGCTAAGAGTAAAAATTGAGGGCTTACCTGAACGAGTTTGGTAATTTTTGGTTTAGAAGCAATCAAGTATTGCTCTACTTTATTTTGTGCCTTTGGAATATGATCGTCTTGAATTGTACTGGTCACTTTCTCAACCACCTTTTTCACAATGGTTTTGTGAACTTCCCGACTCATCCAACCTTCCTTCCATGTAGGCTTTAGTATCTCCTTAACAAACTCAACAAGAGCATTCTTGAACAATCGCATTCCCTTGTCATACTTCATAGCACTGCCTTCATCAACTTTCCCTTGGCCACCCACATTTTCAGGATGTTTATTTTCTTGCCCACCCTTGCTTTCCTCAATAGTTTGACTGCCTCCATTGACTTCAGGATTTGAATTTATTTTCGGTTCTTTTGCTTTTGGACTATGCTTCGCAGTTGAACTGCCAAATACATGGTCAACAGTAGATAGCAGTGAGGACTGTTCCACAGGCATCTGATTTTTCTGTTCTACCGACACAGTTGCAGATGCTAGATTATGGCTGCTCTCAATATCCGCCTTGCCATTTCCAATGGAATCCAACAGATCAAGAGAACTTGTAGCCGGATTTGAATTCATTTTGTTGATGAGAGGGACAAAATAAGTAGTATCAGAATAAGAAGGCACGCTCCTCGTTGCAATGGATGTGTCAAATCCTGGCTGTTCTTCATTCACAAACCTCTGAGCCATAAATGCAGAAGAGTTTATTACAGGAGCACCCTGTTCGCCAACTGGTGATTTTGTCATTTGAGCAGCCTGCTCATCGGCTACAGCATTGGAAACAAATTGAGGAGCCTGGAGTTCTGACATATCCGGTTTTTTAACAGCAATCTGAAGGTTCTGTGTCTGACTTTGCAACCTTGAAGGAGAGATTTTATGTTGCTGAGGCCCATTCAAGTCAATGAGCACATGTTGATTTCTATCAGTTTCATTTGGAAATGAGGAATCTCCAGGGAACAAGCTCTCGTCATTTTGATTGAAGATCTGTCCAGGTAAAAGAAGTGGGTGTTTGGCATTTCCGGAACCATTTACTTCAAGAGCATCAGACCCAAATAAATTTACATCATTATCCTCTACAGGCCCCTGGTGGTACTTCTGAATATGTGAATCAGAAAAAACATTCTGTTGTGAGGTTTTTATAGCAAGACTGTGGCCCTCTTGCATTGTATTTCGTCCATAAGCATGTGAAATTCCATCCTCATTTGACAATTCTGAATCATGGAAATTAATTTCTTGTTTGTCAGCTATACTTTCTTTACCCATAGATACGGTCATGCCCATGTCCACATCATGACTACCACTTCCCCCGATAAGAGAAAGTTGTTGGTCTCTCTTCAAATAATTGTCATTCTGTTTTGGGATTCCCCAAGTTCTGCTCTTGTTTTCCAAACTATGGTCCAATCTATCATCAGTTCTTCCTATAGCGGTTTCACCAACAATATTCATGTTAGCCACAACAGTTTGGGTGGACTTCACTTTGTCTGAGACTTTGACTGAATCATCCCAACTTTCATTCCACCATTTACTCTTGTCGTCCAAACTCAAGCTGCTTGTGTCTTCACCTGGCCTACCTTCAAGATTGTTCATCTTTGGACCTTCATGAGAGAATCTGCAATTATCCCGATTGCACTTGCCTGCTGCAAAAAACTTGCAAGAGGGTTTCACATTTTTGTTTGCTTGTTGCTCGATGTCCCTACTGAAGAATGCATCTCTAGCACCTTTGCCATAACTATCACCAGAAGCTTCGTGATGAGAAAATCTACATGTGTCTCCCCAACGACAGTTACCCTTCATAAAGTCTCTGCAAGGAAATGCATTTCTACTTTGGTTTCTGAACTGCTCATCTTCTTCATAATAAAGATCATAAACGTCATTTCGGGATTGGGTCCCAGGACCTCTATCGTTAGAATGACCTGAAATATGGCCAAGCTCCGGTCTATTTCTCAAATTTTCTGCTCTGTCATCTTCGACACGGTTTCGATCACTGCAGTTGATATTATCAGGGTGAAGAAATCTACATTGACTGCCTCTCCTGCACCTTCCTGTGGCAAAATCTCTACAGGTTCGGGATAATTTTTCATGCCTACTTCCATCACCCCATCCACTAGATTGTCTATGATCACGGATAGGGGTACGACTTCTTGTCTGACCCCTTACAATGCCATCGCCTCTGCCTCTACTCCTGCTCCTGCTCCTGCTCCAGCCCCTGCCTCTGTCCCTTGCCTTGTCCCTGCTTCGACTCCTGCCTCTCCTTCCGCTCCTGCTCCTGCTCCTGCTCCTGCTTCGACTTCTATCTCTTCCTAGATACCTAACATCAAATGACAAACAAGTTATACGATCAACAAAAGATACACGACGCATACTAAAGCAATTATCCTGAGAAAAAAGAACATTCATAAGATCCCAAATATTATGATTTGAAAAATAACAAGTTCCCTGCTATTACAGTCTTCTTGTTTTACTAGAGCAACCCATAGGCTCGCCATAACATGCACAAATCAAAACTTCCAGACAACAACTGAAGATTGCTGTAGCTATTCCCATCAAGGAAAAAAAATAAAGAAATATATGCAGTTTCAGTTCCTCGGTAGCTAGAAGTCAAGTGAATAAAACAAATACCAAATGCATTTTTAGTGTAAATCTGACAAATGTCAAATTGTTCACACACTACTCTTCAAAGAAACATCACATCATTATGGCACTCAAACTTCAACTTAGGAAATGAATAAACAAAAATACAATCACAGACCTGCCAGAACCGCTCCAATCGTATTCTGGAGTGTGATCACGCTTACGCCAATCCACTACATCAAAACCAGGAGACAAATTTTTGTTATAGATTTTTCCCCTGCCTATTTCTTTCGCTTCAGCGATATCTTGTCTATTTTTGAAGAAGCTGTCAACTGTGGGTGCTAATGTTTTCCCCTCTAAAGATTCCCAATTCGGCCTTCCAGAATGATCTCTGGACTTCGGTGCACTAGCGATTCCTGGTGCAGAAAATCTGTTGCGGCGCCCACTATCAAAAGTTGAATGGTTCTCCTTCCCAGTTGAAGAATTAAATTCAGTCATTCCAGAAAGATGTTTAGTCTCATCCTCCATATCCCACAATGATTTGCGTTTTCTACTTTCACCCATCGCATAGCCTCACAAAGAAATGCCCGCAATGTCTATTTTTGCTTATGCAGTACAATCTGTCAAAAATGAGCAATGGATATGAATTAGCAAACACGGTAGTTTTCTATTCATACCCCTTTTCATTATTTCCTTGTGCAGAAGTGTTCTCATAGGATAAGGTGCTCTGATGTTAATCTACAAGTATCATCAAATATAATGACAAGAAACTAACAGTTCAACTAACAAACATGGCCCAAATTATGTTAGCTTTTCCAAGATAAAACAGGAATAACTTTCACTGTAAACACTACTGATGAAGATAGGATGTATTAGAGACTGCTAAAATGATACTGGCCAGGATAACCTTGAATGATACAAAACAACGCACCACCCAAGGAGGAATCTGACAAGGAATACATGGTCAAAGCTCACACCTCGAGGAAATCCAACAAAGAGATGAATTTTTTTCTAAAAGAAGTAAAACACAGCTCTCAAATAATAATAGACTTAATATTCAAACTCTAAAGTCTCAAAAGCTTACAAAACCGAGGTTTATAAGCTGAGCATTGGAACAACCCTTCGAGCATGGGAAATTTCCAAAGCATTCTTTCTACCATTGACAATAAAATTAATGGAAAAACAAACAGATTCTAATTAACAAAATGGGCGACAATTTAAAGCATGTGCATTACAAGAACATTGAAACCTCTTAGGAACTCCCCTACAAATAGAAAAGAGGGAAACCTCTACCGTACCCGAGTAGACTAGCCAACATAACCATTCGGGAGAGACGAATATAACTTTATGTAGAGAAGTCCAAACTGAGATCCATACGATTTGTGGAAATCCTAACTTGATAGGCTTTCAGATGACACATTACTTTCCAGTAAATATATATTCTTTACTATCAAAATTAACTGAGTCCAAAATCTGATTATATAAGATCTTGGAGAACTACAAGTGAGTAAAATTTAACTTCACTTTCTTCAAAGTTGATAAATAATGGCACTCGTGTGTCAACCACCCAAATTGTAAAAGACAAGTCCTCAAGTCAAAGTCGTTTTCACCTGGGTAAAAAGAAAGGTCAGCATCCATAAATTGGATGAGATCCATTTTTAATGCATTTTGGCCAATACGTCGAGAAAGTAAAAGGGACCATCAGCTTTTCACTCAACATACTTCAGTTGGGAAAACCATTTCTTTAGAAGATGAGTATATTAAGCGTTTGTTTGGGAGAGATTTTTTCAAGTGAAAAATGAATTTTTTTTGGGATAATGTGTAATTAAAAAGAAGGAAAAAGTTAAGGTTCCCTTAAAATGTGAGACCGAAAATGAATTGGGTGAAATATTTTTAAAAACTCTCCCAAACGGGCTCTAAATCACCTTAATGAAATTTAACTGTTCTTTTATGCTTGTTGGCAATCTTCACAGGCTTCTCGGTTTGCTTAAGAACTTTGTCTTGAACTAGGTTGTGCATGTTCTTAGCGACCACAGTTCTTTCTTGAGAATCTGTAATAACAAGAAATATTATGTGGAGCCAAGTCCAACGCATTTATTGGCTATGGGGCAAAAATGATTTCAATTTGACTCCATCCAGTAATTTGCCTAGCAGACTTAGTATAAGCAAATTCAATTTGAGCCAAAATGAGATCTATTGTCGTATAATTTTTTTCCCATGTACTTGCTCAATGGATTTTCCAAACTGCAATTAACTAATTCCAACAGAATATTAGTTTGAAGATGATAAAAAAACCAAAATGAAGAGAAGTTCCCAACTTTCTCCAAATAGTGCGCCAAAAATAGCTTAAAGTTTTGAATCTTCCTTGGAGTTTCTACAGTCTATCAAATATATGGATAAATAAACAAATAAGCAATAAGAGATGTGTAAATACATTTATTTCAAGCCACCATAATAGAATCTTTATTCCAATTTGTCCTTGACAAGCCAACAACAAAACCCAAAGTAAAATCTATGTCTGCTTTGATTTCTTTGGTATCTATTCTACCAGTCTTCACACAATCTATCACTTCAAATGACTACATGTATCTACACCTACTTCATTGAAGTTGTTCATCTAGGGTTCCTTCAACAACAAGGCACAACAGTAGCCTTACTTACAATTTTCTTCTCGGCTTCTATCTTAAACATAAAATCAACCTTAAAAAATATTTGAAATCCGTAGTGCTTTATAATCAAGTATGAAAAGGCACCAATGCAGTTGCTTTGCCTTGCCGAATCCCTTCCCAAACAAACCCAGACCCAGAGACATCGCCACCTTATACAATCCATATAAAATGTCTACATGCACTCTCTCTGTCACAAAACACCATTCTGACCACAAAAAATGAGCTTAGCAAAGCATCCTATAAAATAGTTTTGTTGAATTCATCTATCAAGTGCAACCAATATAAAAACTATGCTTCACTGCCTAGTTCACCGTGGTGTGAAATTTTACTTGTAAAACCAAGCAAATATCCTCCAGGGGTCGAATTCCCCCCATCCCAAGATTGAAAATTTGAAGGCTTTATGTTCACCAACGAAGGCAATTAGTGTCCATAAAGAAACATCATTAAAGTATTGCTTGTTGGATCCCACATATTAACTTCTGAGCTGATGGACGTGTTAAAGCGTGATCTTCCATTTTACAAAATCAATGAAACATCTTTTGCTCAGACTTGGTATCTGTGAAGTGGTATCCAGCTTCTCATTTACTGTGGTGTATGAAAGTCAATGAGCTCATTAATCTCCTCCCAAGAAGCAGAATGGTTTCACAACATGTTGTCCTCCAAACAGCAAAAGTTGACTGCTGCCTCAAAACCAGGACCCATAATGATGGTGGCAACATGTGAAAGCAAACACTTCCATATGAGATTCGTTTCAATAGATGTGTAACATTCATTGACTTGCCACCTCGAAAAGGTGTGAATACCGTATCGTGTTATTGGGCATGACAAGAAGTGCAATAACAATGACGTTTGTAAGTGTTGTAGATGATGCCACGTGACTTGAAGAAGATGTCATGTGGCCAGGAATATCAGCCATCTACATGTAAAAGTCAAAAAAGGAAAGTGGGATCAAAAGACTATACCAGTTACGAATAAGTTTTACTCAAATATTTTGATCTAAAATAGTTCCTAAAACATTCCAACATACATGGAAAGTTAGATAAACTTATATCCTATTTAAATAGGTCATATATCAATCAACCTAATCTCTGTAGTCTGTACTTTTCTATTGTGTATGGCAGCAGCAACACAATCTTAGCCACTAAAATGTGCACATAGAAAAGCTTATGAAATGGCAGTCCCAAAGAGACAAACAATATCCCAAGCTTTGATATTGTTTCAATGAAGATATCATTGATTATTTCAAATATAATGACCTTCTGCTGACTAGGCACAACTATCGATTAAGCGGAAAGGCATGCAATTCTATATTACATGGTAAAATTCTTGAAGCATGGGCAGGGCAACCACCTCGCATTCCCAACGTATCAAGGAAATTTCACAAGATCTTGAATGCACGAATGAGCTAGCAATGATGAATATCTCCCTCCAATAAGCACAAGAGCTTTGAAAATGTTTGCAAGTATTAACCTTGGGAAAGATTTTTAGATAACACAAAAAAAAAATCCCTCGGAGAAGTCAGTACTTGAAATGCAAACTAAAAAACGCAATCACTCAAAAAAGGAGAATTCACCCTATCTAACTAATCGAAACCCTGCAGAATCGCATCCAACGCTATCACTAACATATTATGACTAAATCATTTTAATTCTATATTATTTCGCAAAATCCTGTAGATTTGGCCCCATGTAAAATAGATTGACTTTACATTCCAATGATTATATCAATCAACTTTATGACTGCATCATTTATATATCAGGCAATCCTCTCACCTTAAAGTACAACCAAAAATCTAGTCCACCAAAGGAGGTTCAACACTTAATTAACCAAAATCATGAGAACTAGACCAAAAGATCAAGACATCATATACTGTATGCGTTTCATCGGCTAACCCAAAGCCTACAGTGGTTTACATCCAAGCTTCATACAATTCCAATTCAACAAGTATTGTTCACATTCACAAGCTTCACAAAAACCTTGAGTCATCGTTTCAGATCTAAATCTAAATTTCCTACTACTATGATTCCCGCAACTAGAAATTAGGTCCTCTCAATCTGAATTTCCTAAGTACTATGAATTGTTAGAACTATAAGAACACCAACTATTCTATCCACATTAATCAATGGGAATTGTGTAACCCTTTAGACACGTATCTTTTACATAAAGTTCGCGACTTTCTATAACATAAAAGCAGATGCTAGCTAAATGTAGGTGAGTACTCCAAATTTAATGTAACATCTACTTACATCAAGAACCAAAAATCATACAAAGTTAACATGCATGTACATAAGTACACAACTTTTCACCAATTCTTCAGTAGAATCGAGCATAACTTCACACTAGCAGCAAAAACATACAAAACGGAAACACGATAAAAGAATACATTAATTCCGAAGCTATACTAAAGCTATACTAAATGATTGATATTATAATTTGAGGAATCAATAACTACAACTACTACAACACAAAACAGAAGAAAAATAAATTAATTTTCAGAAACCCTAAACAGGACAAGAAATTAAGTGAAAGCTTACCTCAAACTGAGTGCGGCCCAGGCGTAAACGCGGATAGAGAGTGGTTTGCAGAAGAATTGACTGGGCTAAACTCGACCAGGGAAGGGGTAAACTCTGAAGTATTAAAGAAGCGGCTATATTATGGTATCGATTTTCGACTAAATTGTTCTGACGGTCATTGAATTTATGTCTGTGGATGAAATTTATGATATTGAGTTTTGGTCGCTAAATATTCAAAAACGTTATATTGAAAAAAACGTTATATTTTACAAAATGGGTTATTTTCACAAACGATTACTGAACTTACCTAAAAAATATAAAACGGTCACTGAAGTTTCATGTGCTTTCACAAATGATCACTGAAGTTTCATGTGCTTTCCCA